CAGCGGTCAGGATCGCAGGGGTATTGCCATTTCCCCAGTCATCTCTTCAGCACTGGCCTATAGATGCAAAGAGAGCAGAGTACTCGAACACCCTTCAGGGAATGTAGGGACTCATCCGTGCACTCTGCAAATAACACTGCTCTACAGCCAAAATGCTTCTGAAATAAATGTAGTCAAACCTTTACTAATTCTGGGTCACTGAGAACGAAAATGATGCTTAAAATTGTTGATTGGCTCTAGTTTTCAAGATATGCTATTGGGTCAGTATATATGACCGTTGACTTGGGAATAGCGGAGGATAAGTGAGTTATAAAGGGAAGGGATCTCAATTTAAACCAGAAATTTGTTAGTACTCCTGTTTTTCTTTTTGCGGATACAGACTAACACGGCTGCTACTCTGAAACCTGAAATAAAAAAGTTTACCAACCTGAAGATCCTGCATGTTCAGACATGTTCCTTTCATCATCTTCAATGCAGCTTCCTCCTGAGAAGGAACACTTCTCATGATGTTGTTTCATTTGGGCAATCAGGCCTTCCATTTCTTTGTTGCGCTGTTTGCATTTTGCACACACGCCTGTCTTACCCACAGGTAGAGGAACTTCACTAAAATATTCCCAAATTGGGTCTCTTTTATGGCCTGCTACCATTATAGGTTTTTCCTTTTAGTGAGAGAATGTTATGGTAGATCTCAAATCAATGAAGGCTACACTCAGACCTCAAGACGTCTGGAATATGTTTTCAAACAGTTTTTTGTTTCTACTGCCTGTCCCTTCCTTCTCACATTTATCTCCGGACTTCTTCTCCTTATCCAGATCTATTCCGCACCCAACAATCATTATTCATTGAACTTTTTGAAACTTTGCACTTTTAGAGAGAGGTAAGGGATTGACTCTGTGTATACAAATTTGCAGAGGGACAATAGGGTTGAGGTCTGTTATTTCTCACCTGTGTATATTATTATTTATTTATTTAAAAACATTTTTTAGTTAACAAGCATGTTTTTCCTCAAAAACCATTTTTTAAAAAATCATTGATTTTTATTCACCCTGCTTCCAAAGTAGATAGGACCTGAATGTTTAATGTAAAAAAAGTGAAACACTTTTTGACAAACTTCTTTTAGACAATCCAAAAGAACCAAAAAATTATACAAGTCAGTTATTTCCCTCGTTGCAAGTCATCTTTAGTGACTCCACTTTTTACAGTGAACTGAAAGTTCTTTCCCCATCTTTTAAGGTGAAAAACTCATGCATATAGGGAGTGCAGTGCCTTAGACAGTGAAAATTTGTTAAATATGTAATCTCGTCAGTAACCCTATTTCATAGAAGCAACTTTTACTGTGCATGGTAGTGTGGTTATTTTTAAGAAGGAAATGATTAACTTCACCTCATTTTTCTGATTAACCTAGATCTTATTGTGTGAGACAAAAATTAATTTTTCGTCTATGTAATGTTTGAAAATGGAATTAGCTGTTAACACTGAGAGTGTTAATTTTATAAGCATTTTATCACAGTTTCTCCTTGAGTCGAAAACTGACCTTTTTCACTCACTGCATGACTGAGCATGTAATACAGATTAAATGCCCTGAAATAAAACTAAATAGGACTTTCTTCGGGAACCTGCAAGAATATCATGTTGCTATTTTGTTTCCAAAATGCATGAAGTTTCAAAAGTATATCTTAAGTCAATGGGAAAGGGGAAGTAAATGAAAAGCTAAAGTATTAAAAACCTACTGAAATCATAACTATGCTCATTTTTTTGCAATATAGAGGTGTTCAAATTCAAAAGCAAATTTAAGAATTCAAAACATGTATAGTGCTCTAAAGTGGACCCCCGCCCCAAGTGGATATACGGTTGGCGCAATGATTAGGGAGACAATATACAAAAACTGGAAATCTGAAACTATTTTTAAATGGAAAAGCAGAATGCTCCTGCATGATTAAATCATGTTGAGCCGTTTCCCAACAGATAACCACATGACTATACTTGATAAGAGTTGTTGTTTTTACAAAAAATGTATATTATATTGCTGGGTCAGTGGTCCTAGTGCAGAACTAGTTGGAATTCTCCAAGCTGTACATTTAGACCTCAGCAGGCAGCACACATCAGTTACGATTTACAACACCCCCTGTTGCCTGTTTTTTCTTCACTGCTGATGTTGGGGGAATTCCTCTGACAACTGTTGCTATTGTAGCAGTAGCTGACTTTAGTCTTTCATATTATTTTTTAAATGAATTTACCTCTAACGTGTAATTCTGAACATTATGAAGAGATCCAACCTCAGCATCTCATGGACCTTAAATTTACTTTTATAGCCTCATTTGAGTTTTCTTATAGACACTGGGTTTATACTGTATTTGTTGTTGTTGCTATGTACTGTTCTACTTTTAGAAAAGGTCAGAGGAGTAGTCCAGTGGCTTTAGAAAAGGTCAGAGGCGTAGTCCATTGCCCTGGATGTAGTCATAAGATGTCCATTACAGATGCACCTGACTATTGCTTGAGATGTCTCTTAGTGAGCCATAGCTTGTTGATTAAGGAATCTATGCTCAGATTCCACTGCAAGCTGCTAGGTCTCAGGGTGAGCAACACAAACTTCTCTTGATCTCATAAAGGCTTCTGCTAAGTAGCTGAGAAGGCCTCAAAGCATAAGTCTGCAAGTACTTCAGTACTTGTAACCAGATGAGTCTTTGTTTTGGTACCAAAATAGGCTTCAGGGCAGCTCCTCTGGCATTTTTACAAGTGGCCAGCTGCTCCCTCCAGGTTAGTCAGGGGCACACCAGAGCTTTGGTATGCTTTCAGCATTGGTTATACTCCATTCCAAATTTAAATTTGAAGTACCACCTCCCGAGACGGAAGTCTACCTCTGTGAGAGACCTTCTATCTCCACTGATAATACCTTATCTGTCTTTCTTTGTGGAGATCTCTTTCTGGTTACTTTAGCTTCAACAGCATTGGTGGTGTTGGGACAGACCTATGGCTTTGAGCTACAGTTAAGCTCGTATAGCTTGAAGAACACATTTCATCACATAGCTTTAGCTTTGTCAGTGACGCCTCCACCACATTTCATTGCTGGCTGAAACCCTGATCTAGAGCCAGCTTTGAGCTTTCAGAGCCATTAGTGTGCTGGGGTAATGATGCCAATACCTACATTTCTCTTTTCAGTGCTCTTGATTTACTTTGAAATACTTCAGTATTTACTCCAATGCCATTGTTACATTGTTTATCCCAATGGTGTCAATGTTTTTGGCGTCAATGTCTTTCACACTATTAGGGTTTACTTAGAAAATGTAGCCTATGTTGTATTTCCATCTATGTTCATGTTTTTCTAGTTCTTCAATTTGGAGTACTTCCTCCAAGTGCTTAAAACATCTAGAAAAAGTCTCCATGTCTTTCTGATAATTAAGACCCAAAGAAGGATGTTTATTTTTCCTCCCTCAGTGCTTTCCTATGTATTGTATTATAGGGGTAATTCAGAAGTGATGGAATTGCTCCCTTTCCCTTTAAGGCTGTCTGTGGTATCTACTGATTGAGAGAACTTACACCCCAAACTTGACTCTGTTGGCATAGAACTATCATTTGATTGCCAACTGCATTATTCAGATTTCTAAACTTTACCACAATTAGGGTGAAGTTAGTATTTCTGAGACTTAATGAGGGCCTGGTTTCACTTATTTTCTCACAATTTGCATCTCATTTGCATGACCTCTAGTCTACCTTTATCTGTGTCATTGGTTCCAACATGGGAGGAAACCTTTTTCTTATTCGAAGCGCCTGACCAAAGCTTGTCCAGTCATGAAATATCATCTCCCTACTACTCGTGGGGCAACAAACCATATAAGATTTAGTAATAGTATAACTGCCTTACCCATCTCATTTGTAAGTAATTACCCTTCTCTACTGCCACCTTTCCTTCTGTTCTATGATCCCTTAGTTCTATATTTACACTTTATCATCTTCACATTGTCTTAAGACTTTTGGGAAACGGATAACTTTACTATATATACCATTCCTATTATGTTGATTACATTTTTATCTTCTGCTTTTAGAAAACTAAGCTCTTATTTAAATACATTCTTTATATTTTGACTTTATTTGTATAATGAAGCAGCTCATAAAAGTTTGATGTTGTACAGTGTTCCTGGATAGTTCTTAGTAATAAAGCCCTTACACTGTTTACCATTATTTCTGGGATTTGCATCAGATTACCCATATTTACCTATCAATCCCTACTCTTCCTTCCTCCAGATCCTATAGCAGTACCTGTTATGGTTGATTTATTGAATTCTTTTCTGGTAGCACAGCTATGGTTTCTGCTTTGATTGCCCCAGAGAACAAATGACTAACCTTTGAATTGATAGTCTTTTTAATTAAGTTAATCCAAACAACAGTTCATCACAATTCACTTTACTTGATTTCTTATGTAAAATTTTAGTACTCAGTCAACATTGCACAGTTACTCACATTGGCATCAGTGTCAGTTCTGTATACAAACTGGGAAAAGTGAGAATGTTTTTGTTTAACTTACTCTTAAATAACTTTATTTGTAGTTTTTAAAAATGCATCTCATGTTTTAGTTGGAGTATTTTATGATCCAAAGCTTGAATCAGAAGTCCTCTGAAAAAATGAAGAAAAGAAAAAAAAGCCACAAGTGCCATGGAGTTAAACCGCCTCAGCTTGAACAGCCAGGTGCTTATAATAGTAATTATTTTTTTTCAGTGTAATACTGATCAGATTGATTATTTAAAAACATGTTTAATAAATTATCCATTACTAGCAACTACTGTGATGTGTGATTTTTATCTCAGAATGGATTACTTAATTATTTAGGGAAGTACTTTGTGAATCTTGAGGATTTTATAAAACTATATATATAATATGTGATGGGTGATCATTTAAAATTTGTAGCATGTTTTATAAAAAAAATCAGGAGTTGTGCTCATTGAAGTGAACTCAGAATATGGAAAGTTTAGTGAAATTATGGATGAAGTCTGAGTTTATACAAGCTGCACATGACGAGATGAGAGAATAGTAGTAACCCAAGAACGTAAAGGGAGATGTTAGAAAGAAGGCGTGAAAGGCTAAAAGGTAGTTTGTCCTTTTTAATATAGGTTTCAGCAGTTTAACATCATATTAGTTTTTATAGTTCTTTTGATTAACATTTGGTTACTTAATTACAAATTTAAATGCATAAGAATGGCCACCCTGGGTCAGACCAGTGGTATAATAACTTGAAGGTGCTTCATGTTAACTCCGCATAATATAACTTGTTCTAGTAAATGCTAAATATTGAACCTAGCCCAGAATCTGGGGCCCAGTCCTGTCCCTAGTTCAAGTCAATGGCAACGTTCCTATGAATTTAAATGAAAAGAGGACCAGACCACACTTTTTACCTGGTAAAAATGAAGTTACCTTAAATTACGATGATAAACATATTAGAAATTATCACCCATTGCAAAATATATACTCTTATTCCTAAATGATTACATTCTCAGTTCTGAGATTAAAATCAGAGTAGTACTTGTCATTGATCTGAGCTCCATCTGTGAAGTCAGAGGGGCTGCATGGGGTTTAAGGGAAGAAAGGATTTAGCCTAGAACGTTTAATGGAGTTGTTCTTTAAATAATTTTGCACTGAAACATTTTTTTACTGACAATTAACTTTTGTTATGAGTCTTTCAGGCTCTGTCTCTAACCTCTCTCTGATTTCTGCAAAGTGTAAGGTGTTGAGACTGCATTTATCTGGTGGGCATGCAAAAAAATTAAATTGTTAAAGTTCTGAGTTAGGAAAGATTGTTTTACCTTACCCATATTATGGGTAAAGTATACACTTATTTATAGGTTTTTTTATGAAGTCCCTTTTTAGGTAAAAACCATGTGAGATGACATGAGAGACTAGACGTATATAATTAGAAATTTTTAATTTTTCTTTGGAAGATCTATAAAATGGTGGAAACCTTTTTACAAAACAGTTCTAATGTTAATTATTCTAACATCACTCAAGGTGAATGAAAGACTGGATTTGTTCTAATGGTGAAGGTGATGTATACTTTTTAAGAGCAAATTTTTATTGAGGATAATTAAGAAAATACCCTTTTATGTCCTCATTTAATCCAGTTTCTGAGAATAAAGATGCTTTTGTTTGCATAGCAACTAATAGGAGTTTAGAGTTACAAAACTGTTCATTCATTATTTTTAATATCTCACTTTTATAGAAAAAATGCCAATCTTAAAAGGTGAAGCCTCGCATTATAACTCCGATTTACATAACTTGCTGATCTGCTGCCAGTGTGTGGATGTGATATTTTACTCAGAAGATTTAAAGGAAGTAGTAGAAGCACACAAGATTGTTTTGTGCTCTGTAAGCCATGTCTTCATGTTACTTTTCAATGTGAAGAGTCCAGCTGATATTCAGGATTCCTCTATCATAAGGACTGCACAGACTCTCTTTGCAGTGAACAGTGAGGCTGTGTTTCCAGTTTCTAACCGAGGTTCACCATGCGGCCCACCGGTTCGAGTCACTGTTAAAGACTCTTTCTTCTGTTTTTGTTTGTCAGACATTCTGCACTTCATTTATTCAGGTATCCTGTCAGAATGGATCCAGCTGTTTACTATCTTTTTAAAGAGCAAACATATTGCTATGGAGTATATATTACCCTACCAAAATATATTCCTCTATTAGGATTAAATCAGTTTGATTAAAATAGTCCATCTCTATAGGCCATTATTTGGAACAGCTTCTACGTGGAAATGGAGCTTAACCTTACAATTTATTGCTTTTAGCACTATATATTCAATTCCAAAGTCATTGAATCTAGTAAACCAGAAGCTTCTAAAGTGGAAAAAAATTTCCCCCAAAGTTCTATAAAGCTAACACATTTTCCATAAGTAACAGGTAAAGATGAATGTAACGCCAAACATCGCCTTGCCAAAAACAGCTTTTCAGTGAGATAATTTCAGAACAAAATAAAACTGTTAAAAATGGTTAAAAACATTGCGTACAATAGTGTGTTAAAGAGAATGGGGAGCAACATTATCTGGTTTGTGAGAGGACTGGGAGTCATGCGATCTGTGTTCTGTTTTCATTTCTGCCATTGTTTCATTATGTAACCTTGGGCAAGTCACTTAACCTTCATTTCCCAATCTATTAAAATGGTGCTAATGATATTTTTCTGTCTCTGTAAAACATTTTGTGAGTCTCAGTTGAAAGACACAATAAGTGTGAAGTATTATTAAAGAACACTAAATCATCTAGCAACTCTTTTTCGTTTGAATAGCCTATTAGTTTGTACTGATATGACTTCTAGTTGTATTACATATTTCATCCCCACTAATGAAAACTATAAGAGATTTGTGGGAGGAAGTAGTAGTTCTCTAAATAATGCGTCATTACTTTCACTGTAATTAGAAATGTGTAACTATATAGTTAGAGATGTTATATGTAAGGAAGTTGAGTTTATCTCCAGAATGATGGTTGTCAAAAGTATTTAAAGGACTGTTCCCTTGGAATGGCAGTCCATAGTCTTTGGAAAGGGCCAGGAATGTTTTACTTTAATTCCTCCAGGACTGATTCCAATCTTATGCCTTCAATAAACCAGTATGGAGCATTATCAAACTTCTTTGTAAAAATAATTTGGATGTAAATTTTTATCTGGTTGGCTGAAAGAGCTTTCAGTTTGTGTACCATATTAGGTGTAAGCTGAATTTTTATTTTTGACCAAAGTCTCATGCCAACCTTTGGAGGAGTGGTCATCTTACATGAGGTTTACATTAGAGGAAATAGAGAGTTGAGCCTCCCTCCCCCCAGTAATGACACTGCACCTCTGAGGAGCTCTACATGCTTCTTGATTCTCATGGCTTATCTCTTGCTGCAGTGGGGTTGGATTTCCCTGGCAGGACTTAGTGCTGCTACTTGGCAGTTCACTACTGCCTTATATATTTGTGTATATTCACACTATTTATATGCTGGTCAATAATCTGAAACAAAAGTTAAAGTAGAAATTAGGAGATGATCATCCTATGTGATTTTCTGTAGTAATTATCTCCCACTGAACACACATTAGGTCTATAAAGCAACTTCACCAACTAGATCACTATGCTACATGCAGACTTATCAAATAATATTCATATAGGAAATGTTTAACTATTAATATCCTTTTAATGACTTTCTAAAATTCTTAATTTTCATCTCTGTCTCCTTATCTTTTTCTTTGCCTCATTCCATTTCCTTTCCTCTCCCACTGTTCCAGAACTTCAGAGGAGGATGATGATACTGGCACTAATCCACTGAGTATAATGCTAGCAGCTTAACTAGGGCTTCAGAAGGAAAACCTCTGCTGGTCCCATGTATTTGAGCTGAGTGGCTGGAGCAGTCCTTACTAGGAGAAGAAGCACTTGAGTGAACTGCTTCTCTGTGGATCTTTGCTCCTGTCTTTCTGTTCAACTAGTGGTGGCAGCTTCTTTGAAAATGCTCATCTCTTCAGCATCTCTGGACTGATGGGTGGGTTATTTTTTTGAAGCAGGCAGAGGATTGAGGAAATACAGATGAAGGAAAGGGGGGGGCGGTTGTAAAGATAGGGAGAAGAAGGGCAAGAAGAAGGAAAGAAAAAGAGATGGAGGGTAAGTAGAAAAGTGAATATAGGTAGGTAGTTTACAAAATTGCAAAAAGAAATGTATTTAAAATCTATGCCAAATGTTTTTAATACAGTGTTTTGGAACCTTTTTCTGTTTTTTGTTTGTTTTTGTTTTTTAAATCAGTCTACATAGAATGAATAAGTAATTTTCCTTAATTTAAATATATACTGGTACTATTAAATCTTATTTGTTTTAATAAACATTATATTTAAATTGTTAAACTTCTTATAAACCATTTTATAAGCTTTGTAACATGCTCAAGGGTGTGTGCTTTGCCCAGTATACAAACACTGAAGATGTGGGCGTATTGGCTGAATGCACACCTTGTTGTGTGCTATTGCTTCCTCATGCTGTAATGTTGTTCTGCATTAGATGCAGAGGACAAAACACTATATTGGGGAAGAAGATTCCTCACAGTTTGTCTCTCAAGCCCTTGATAATGCTGTAAATTCAGCCTCTTTTAAGGGTGACTGACTTGGAAATGGGGGGACTTTCAAAGACACAAAGGAATTGAACAGCCAACTCCCCTTTAGTACTTACCAAAGTGAAGAATTTATAATGTTGGTTTAAATACCATATGGGCATGCACTGTGTGAGCCTCTGTCAACAATACCTCATTTGTGACTACTAATAATATCCCTTTTATTCTAGCCCTAGGCTTTTCTTGATCAGTCTGCCAATCCTTTCATACTGTGTGGTGTTTTTCTGATGTGCACCAATAGTGACTGATTAGTTTAGTTTAATTTCTGTCATAAATCAGGGTTTAAATTTAGATCTTCAGAGAAGAAAGACTAGTGCAGTAATCCTTTGTGCTTTGGCTTGCAAATACAGTTTACTGGCCGATGCTCGTGTTCTGTCTTAATTTTATCTTCATGTATATTAGCCAGAACACACAAGCAATTTATACTTTTATGGATCAAATTCTTCCCTAAGTTGTAGCTTGTGATCTCATTGAGATCGCAAATGGTGTAAGTCAGCGCAGAATTTGGCACATATCAAACTTGGGTCTTCCCATTTAGAGGATTTTTAAGGAAAATATTGAGTCAGGAAGAATAGAAGTCTAGTTTTTGAGATACAGTGAAGATGCTTTCTGCCCCACTATCAATGGATTCTGTTCATAAAGTTGAAATAGCCTTTCCTCTCTCCTGTCACTGCTGGTGTAGGTGGCATGACTGGTGGACGGGGGTGAGATCAGGGTATTCTATACTGCATCAATCCCTAGCTGCTGTTTCAACCCCTTGGGTTTGACTACAGTGGGTGAATGTTAAAGCACACTGAGGTCTGCTCTAACTTATGCCTGGGGACTGGCCTGCATAATGTGGGCCCCAGCATCACAAGGATGTGAATATGAGCTTTATGCCACCTTTTCATCTCCCTTACCCCTTCAGACTTCGTACCTCTCATCTATAGTTGAGTCCCCCAACCCGAATGATCATTTAAACAAAGCATTGATTTTTGAAGTTTATTCAGACAAAATATTAAAGCATGTTGTTTACCTTGTTTTTTTTCAAATGATACCATATGATTTGCTATTTACTTATAATTTAAGTATACATTATTGCAAAATAGATATTTACTGTGCAGTTAGGGCTGGATCCTACCCCCGTTAAGGGCAGTTGTGAATAGAATAAAGGTCTCCGAAAGAGGAGAGAGGTTTTTTTAAATGCTGGAATATTCTGAAAGACTTTCTCCTTACTAGCCTTATAACCATTTGGTAATGTTCAGATGGAAGTCCTATAGATAACTTTTAAAAAGTTTGTTTTTCACATTTACTACCAAAAATTTTAGTAATTGCAGTTTAGTCTTTTTTGAAAATATACATACTCCCTCAATTGGATAATTGTCTTTAAAAATCATGTACATGTAATTCAGATACACTTTCTGGGGATATAGTGTCTTAAGAATGAGCATCTTGAAATTTTCAAAGGTGTATAATTGTGTGTGTGTGTGTGTGTGTGTGTGTGTCCCCATCCTCTGACTGACTTGGTCATAGGGGCATCATGTTTCCATAGGCACTTTTTATTCTGGCAGCACCATCTCCTCAACGACTTGACAAATGGGGAACTGAGGCACAGAGGCCAAGTGACTTGCCCAAGGTCACACAGGAATTACATAGTGGAGCATGGAATTGAACCCAGATCTCCTATGTCCTAGGCCAGCACTCCAACTGTTGGTCCATCCTTCCTCTCTTAATGATAAAAAGTACAAAAAAATGAAGAAAACATGAATCTTCACAGAATTTGCCACTTTAAAAGTCTTCAGAGTCATAGATGCTCAGTATAAAAACCATACATCAAATTATCAGGTAATGCTATTCTGTTCATCTGGTTACCAAATACCCTAAATACAATTGCTCAGTAAATACCTTTTGTTTAGTGTACCCTTGTGTGTTTTTGGGTTCAGATTTTAGTAAAATAAGTTTCTTTGCCTATGGAAATAATGCCCATACACCAGAAAACCACAGCATCTAAGGCCTTTAGCAACATAGTTCCTTTTCTGGTATCCTGTCAGCCAGTCTTCCACTATAGAATGGTTTATCTCTTTGGAGACAGCTAAAATTGTCAGTCATAAAGCAGATCAACCAGAAAGGCTTTCTTTGCTCCATTAGAATCTTGAAAGGTTTTTTTCCTGTAGCAGGGATGATTAGCACTGGGAACACCTATCTTTTTGGAAGTTAGTGTTTTCTGTTTACACCTATTTTTCTTAGTAATAGTAAAGATTTCAATTAGTTTTAAGTTTTTCTCCTGTATATTCATTTATGCATTTTTCATTCTTCAGTTTATTCATAAATAGGCTTATTTCTTCCAGATCCACGAAAGAAGCAGAACAGACAGAGTAATACTGTTCTTTCTAGTTCCATATCTTTGAAGTCCATGATATTTTACTTCCTTTCTCCAAAATAGAGCTGTCATCTGTGGAGAGCCTAACATATCACTATGACCCAGAAGACCCACAGGGAGCAGATTTTTTTGAAGATGTTAGATGGCACCATTTTTATATAGTCACTTTTTGGACTGTAACGACATGTTTAAACTTTTTCTTCAGATGACAGCTGGGAGCATCTATGTTACAAAGCAACAGCTCTCAGTCAGATGCTAATGGACTCCCATATTCAGCAAGTTTTTTTCAGTATCTTTTCTAAGGGTCCAGTTGCCCTTTATGGTGACTGGGCTGGATGGAGTCCTAGACTTCACCTCTTAAAAACAAAATATCCATGAAATGCTTAATCTTGCATTTCAGCAGTCTTTGGAGAGGTGGAATTTTTCTCTCATATCAGCAAGTACTATAAATTTCTAGGAGAGCAGCTACTGAACAACTGGAACCTATGTAAGAATTATCAAGACCTGAGGAAGTTGTGGATATTTGATCTTTTTTTCTCTTTCAGAATAGACTTTCACTAGGGAAGATTTCACTTTTTTTTTTTTTAACTTGAATTTTTTGATACTTTGTGTGTTTCAATAGTGGCTTTCTTCTTCTGAGGCTAGCTTCTTCTACTTGATCTTGCAGGAAACTTTTGATTAATATTTAAGATGTTGCTGTAGTTTCCTTAGCAATTCATTGAGATATCAAATATAAATTCAATCCAGAATCCGAAGGAGAAGTAGTTGGTTTGGAAAGGAAGATCTTGAAGAACAAATATCTTCACAATAGATAACTTTTATTTTAGAAAGTGTTATAAAAATAAAATCGAATTTCTTCTCAGTATCCTAGAATATTAAGGAAGAGAGAGCCATATGCCAAAGAACAAACTTATACTGTTGGGAGCATACATACTAGGGAGGTGAGCAAGGTATAAAACCCTAAATAGATTGGGGTTTTCAAAATTTTCCATAAAACAGATTTTAATAGAAAAGTTATTTCCCATTCACATTTGTGCAGACTACCTCCTCTCCAATTCAGCGGCATCTCTGTGGAAACTACAGCAATTGGTTACATGGAAAAGTAATATTAGGAAAATACTTAATGTAGTTTCTAGTCCTTTTATTTTTGATTTTGGTAGAAATGTCCTCTCCCTTCCCTGTTTTGCCTTGAGTGTAAATTTCTTTAAGCAGCTGATCCTTTAAGCTTCAGCAATGTAGGCATCATTCAAAATGTCAAGTAACTGATATATTAGGAGAAACTAACATAGTTAAGTGCCTAATTCTACACGCTCAAACAGCATTTTTTCTGAAATTGCGCATACAAAGTTTATACAGGACTTTGAGTTAAATTTATCTTGAGATTTTTGAAGCAGTCCAGGGGATTTGGACTTTTTTCCATGACATGTACATATCTAAATTGCCTAGACTTCTTTGAGAATCTAAATTAAGATATGGGGACCTGATCTTGAAAAATCCTGATAAAGTCAACATTACATCAATGCGTAGGTTTCACCATTGCAGAATTATAATTTGTGCGTTCTAGGGCACAAACTTGCTGAAAATATCTAACCAACAAAAGTGCTGTGAAAGTTTTTCTATAAAACTGAACTGTTGGGCATGGACATTCTTTTATCTGTCCGTGAAGTCCCATGCACATTAATTTATACCTAATGATATTGACCAGAAAGCTATTCCATGCCTTACGGATGGTGTTTGGTTTTGTCATAGGTGCTTTCCAATGGGAATTGTTGGAAGAAGATATAAAAAAGAAGTTGAAAGACCCAGGAGAAGTTGAGCTTGTGCTTGAGAAAGTTAAATGTATCCTGAAAACTCCAGGAAAGGTCAATTGCCATTATTTTCTTTTGTAATCACTTTTTGTGTAGAATAGCTGGACTCATTAAAAAATAACTTTTTGTAATGTTCCTTGTTCTACAAGTATTGTGGCTTACAGAATCTTGTATTCTATCAGCTGTTCTAAAATATATAAAATAGATCGGGTGGGCAAACGTTTTGGCCTGAGGGCCACATCTGGGAATAGAAATTGTATGGCGGGCCATGAATGCTCACAAAATTGGGGTTGGGGGCAGGAGAGGGTGAGGGCTCTGGTTGGGGGTGTGGGTTCTGGGGTGAAGGCAGAAATGGGTTCAGGGTGCAGGAGGGGTCTCTGGGCTTGGGCAGGGAAGTGAGGTGTGGGGGGGTGTGGGCTACAACTGGGCTGGGATGGGCTCTAGGGTGGGGCTGGGGATGAGTTTGCGGTGTAGGAGGATGCTCCAGGCTGGGATTGAGGAGTTCGGAGGGGGTTCAGGGCTGGGGCAAGGGGTTGGGACGTGGTGTGTGTGTGTGTGTGTGTGTGTGTGTGTGTGTGTGTGTGTGTGTGTGTGTGTGTGTGTGTGT